GACAAGCATCACAAAACAGCCACCGCATTTGGTGCTGCCATTATGCTGAACGAAACTGCCAGTCTCTTTCAACATCGGTGACTGTACACATCTGCCACCTTTCACTGTTGACAAAATAGTCAGGACTCACCAAAAGCTGCGCACTGTATACAGTGACCGACATGCTAACATATATAACATCAGCCAATAAAACAGTGGTAACGGATAAACAGCCGACCGGATAGCCTCCAACAACTGTGGTTACGATGCCTGCCGAAGATTAAATGGTACGACAGCGTCCTGGCGTTAGCTGACGTGACGGACATCACAGAGGCGCGCAGCGATAGAAGGCTGGCAAGGTTCGAGCAGTCACACGTGAGTCAGAAATCTCATTGGTTTATCAGTTGCTGTGCTCGGAGCACAAATACGGACGACAAATCACCGGTGGCCAGTGCATCACATGGTAAACGAAATTAAATGCAGATCCTCTGTCGATTAGGAATGTTTCTTTCGTCGATGCGATGCAATGAACAGTTAATAATGTCAAAATGCGAAGTTTTGAAATGTGAACATCACAAATCTTAAGCAGCCTGCGGTTTGCAAAGATGATGACTAAACGAAAAGAAACGGTACAAAGAGGTCTCTTCAAACGCATGTCCCTACTTGCTGAATAAAAGGAGTTACAACTTATGCAAAGCTATAAATAGGCGACTACTCTCGCCATTTATCCTAATGACCTCTTAGGAAAATGGGTCAGGAGAAAACGCTGAATGAATAAGCGTGATTCGTTCGTAGCTAGAAACGCGGATTCAAGGCAAAACCGGAATGAGCGAGGATTATTCAAAGCGCTGATTAGTGAGCGAACCATATTTTCTCCAAATAATGCGTAACAACATCAAGATCAGATTTCACGGCTGCATCGCCCACCTGCTCCCAGTTGCCTGGGGACATCTAAGCAGGCCACGGCCCCATGGTATTTGAACACTTGCACTATATTTTCTTGTCACGCCACTAGTTCTTTTCGCCCTCTCTTCGTCATCTTTGACTCTTATGTCAGTGATGCAGTGCAGTGTTCTACATTTTCTTCACTGTATATCGCTGACTCCATTTCGACAGTCTAATATACCGTCTGTAAAGAGTTCCGTGTATGCAGCACAGGTTTGACCTGCCATTGAACCGAGAATGACTATTTGTGTACTGTCGTTCAAAAACCCCGCAACTTCAATTTATATCATTTACGTCAATTCTTGTTATGCGTACCGCATAGCTCATACGGAGCACCAGCTTCTGACACGTCTTCGTGTTGCGCATCATTTGTTCTAGCAAAGAGATTATGCCAGATGCATCTACCACAGCAAAAGCTCAAAAATCACGGTCTCTTGAAATAACCCGCTAAGCCACTAGGAGCAAGGAAACGATACAATGCACCTTGGCCTGGTAGAAGTTATACGTCATATGTCGATATTTCTGTAAACCTATTGACAAGCTCCTTTTCACAGCGTCAAAAAATATTCTGCCTGTAAGACAGCTTTCACAGCACAATCGAGACACCATCACCCTATCTTCCATCACCGGTAAACATGACCTCGAGGTACGTGAATTTCTCCACCTGCGTTACTTTCTAGGTTTATCCACAGGGCGTCGCAGGAAAAAGGGAAAGCAATAGGCCCACGGTGTTAGAACATTCACAAGCATGCGAACCGCGTCATATTCAGCTGCGAAGCTTTCCAGATATTGCTGGAGGCCAGTTTAGAAAGAGGTCAACAAAACAAGGTCATTTGCAAACAGCAACCTTCTCGTCTCCACATCTTCTACGCTGATACACTAGTCGCTTTGACTGCTCCTGACTATTCTATTCACGTACAGCATAAACAGGATAAGGGACAGGACGCAGCCTTGACGGAGACCAGTGCCAACGTTGAAAGTCTAGACTTAACGCCATTAACTCTGACGCAGCACCAGCTATCAGAATACAGTTACTGGATGGCCCGTAGAGCCTGGCCATCGATCCCATATGCTCGCAAGCACGCTCACAGCTTGTTTAGCTGGATCCGTTGCAGACTTTACTCCGACAATAAAACACAGTT